TATATATCGTATGTATTCTACATATATATATATATATATATATATATATATATATATATATATATATATATATATATATATATATATATATATATATATATATATATATATATATATATATATATATATATATATATATATATATATATATATATATATATATATATATATATATATATATATATATATATATATATATATATATATATATATATATATATATATATATATATATATATATATATATATATATATATATATATATATATATATATATATATATATATATATATATATATATATATATATATATATATATATATATATATATATATATATATATATATATATATATATATATATATATATATATATATATATATATATATATATATATATATATATATATATATATATATATATATATATATATATATATATATATATATATATATATATATATATATATATATATATATATATATGTAGAATACATACTAAGTTTAAAATGGATAGTAAGAATTAATAGTAACTCTTATGATCAAGCATGTAACAAATAATACTATATTCTTAAAATAATGCTATGTAACCAATAACTGATACAATTTCAAATATTATGATGTTATTAATAAATTGGTAGCTAACTTTATAATTTGTTATATTTATATTAGTCAAACTTTACGAATGTGAAAATTAAATTAAATATTATAAAAAATTCATTTTTCAATTGTAGCGAGTATTATAACTGAGTTTTACGAAATTGTAATTAAATTACTTAATATTTGTTAGAATATAGGGATGAAAAGACTGAACTCTAGAAATGCTCACTACATAGTATTTATTCCCTTTGTGTGTTACTCTCTATATTCAAATTGAACTAGCAAAATAATTTTCAGTACTCTATTAGATGAATTTCTTTAGTGTACATACCAAATTTTGAAATAAAATAATTTATATATATAATTTTTAGGGCAATTATCTATATGTTTAATGTTTTGATATATGCTTGATGTTTTAGGATGATATATTAGAGTTCAAAGAATGAATGAAGATAATTTACAGTAAAAATATGTCATGCCAAGAAAATTCATTTTATTTTCATTGCTAATTAATTATAATATTTTTAAAAAATTTGCATTCTTTTCATAATTTAATTTAGTATTATGTGTAAAGCTATTTCTGTATTTAATTATTAGTATTAAAAATGTTCCATGTGCATACGTATACTGTTTTGTATAAAATTAAACTGTACTAACAGTAAAGGAACTAATGTTTAAAAGTTCACTAAAATTTGTAGCAGTATTTCAAAAAATTTTAAAATATTTGTTAATGTCTTTGTTAAGATATCTTTTTATAACTGTACATGAAATACAAATGATTTTATAAGAATTCAAATGCAAATTAAGAAATCTTAGTTCACGTATTTCTGCACGATTTAGAATTTAATTTGAACTTTTAATAATTGGGATGCTTTTTAATTGAGTAATTTATTTAATTTTACATCAAGACACTTCACACGAAATTTAGTAAAATTGAGGATTTGAATATTGTACTTTCTCTTGCTCAGGTGTCTATCCTTTTATGATAAGGATAATCAATATTATATAAACTAATGCTACATTATGGAAATTGAATAAGTATTGGTATTGATGTTAGATAAAGAGAACTAAGTTAACAAAAATATTGTTACCATTATATGATATCATTTATAGCACTCATGATATATAGGAAGCAAGGAATTTAAAGTACTAAAAACAAGCTGTAATATTGCTTCTAGTTTCTAAAGCATTAACAAAAGTTCAGCGATATGAAATTTTGTTTGAAATTTGTATGTTAATGGTATAGTCTATATTCAGATATTTTTTATCAGCTCAATTTAATTCAGTAATATAGTATCCATAAACTTTTATTTAATTCAAGTATACCCATTAAATATCGCTGATATTTGCCAAAGAATTTGTATAATATCTCGATGATAAAGATTGAATTGTAAATCTTGATAAATAGCAAATGATACAGAAAAATCACATATACAATTAATACAGATTAGAAAAAGGACATTAATTGAATCATTGTGACTTTTCTGTTTCCATTGATATATTTTACATTCCACTTTATGATAAATAAATCCGAAACGTAATTATTCCAAGAATAATTTCTGGTGCTATTTTCTGATGTGCTATCATCTCTGTATTACCAAGAATAAGCAAAAGACAAAAAAAACTGTGTAATTACATGTACATTGTATTAATCGAGAGGTTCCCGTAACCACTGCCGTTTGAACTAACTAATATAATTACTTTGCTAAAATATTCGGATAATGAAGATTGTAATGCTGCTATTTGCAAAGAACATATTGATCTACGAATTTAATGAAATTTTTATTGAATATGTATGTTCGTACAATATGACCTTTGGCAGACAGTAGTTTCAGACGTATGAAGCATATGTGTAGAAGGTATAGGAAACAAAACAAAAGAGCATACACTGCCTTATTTATTTTACCATACAGGTAATAAGTTTTATTGTCATTCATTGTAGCATAATAAATTGAAATTTCATAATTGTAATAATCTGCTTTGTTTTTAATTACCTTTTACTAAATTCCTGTTATTCCCTTATAAAAATGTATGATATCATTCCTTCATAAAATTTATTAACGAGTTAAAAATGTCTATGTACATATTAAAGATCTTAAGTTATGTTATAAAGTAGTATAAATATGAAATAAATATAGATTTTTAATATGCTTCAATTATTCATATTACTTACATATATCGAATAATTAAGTAACATCGTATAATAACGTTCACTTTATTGCTTAATGCATAATGTTTAATACGTGTCTTTACAACAGTAAAAATATAAAATAAATAAGTCATAAAAAAATATAAAATAAATAAAAAAGTCAATGTAAGCTTCAAAACGAACATTATATTGTATCTTTCCTTTTTAAAATTCACATATTAGAAAAATTCTATAGTATTATAATTAGAAATACGCTTTATTAGAGCCTTAACTTGAAACAAAATACAGTTTATCGTATCGAAAAAACTCATAATAATAATATCTTATATATTACTTAGAACTACACGAACATTGCTTCAAAGCGTAACACGATTCGCATGTTTCGTTGGAATCGTATCGACGAAACGTCAAAAATAATGAAATTACATTGTGAAACCACTTGAATCAATCGTTAAACGCCGCAGAAAAATTCCAGTAAAATATCCAGCAATACACGATGCGCGTGTACGATCAACGATGCTAGTAGTCGAAGAGTATTTCATCGGGCGATGATTTAAGGAACGATTATATACAAAATAATTGAATGAAAATATGTTCGTCGGGTGTGCGAAATAAAAGATTCGAGGTCAATTTGATCGTGAAAGATGTCTTGCGCGAAGGATTTCTCTTGCATCGGAGGTCTGGAGAAGCAGATTCGTGTTGTAAAGGAAACGGTTCTATTTCCGCTCATGTACGGTGACATTTACGCGAAGTTCAACCTGAAACCACCGAGGGGTTTGCTTTTTTACGGGCCTCCCGGTAAAATAAAGCGTTCTACGGTTCGTAATGAAGCGGAACATTGTTGGAAACGAGATTCCCGATTGACATCCTCTGTTTCGCAGGAACAGGAAAAACACTGGTCGCCAGCGCCTTAGCCGCAGAGTGTAGTAATTCGGAACGAAAGGTTTCCTTTATATCTCGTAAGGGTTCCGATTGCCTTAGCAAATGGGTCGGCGAAAGCGAGAAAAAGCTCCAGAAGATTTTTTCACTGGTTAATATAGTGTTTTACTTAAATTAAAATTTCCTATCCATCGTACTTTTAATTTTTAAGATATGTATGTTGAAATACATATAACATATACCTGTTCTCGTTTCATTTGTAGACAATAAGGATTTTAAATTGCATTTGCAAATTAAAAGATATTCAGCAGCGGTTGATTTAAAAAGATCTGAAAACCATGTCGATCTTACAGGCTCAACAATCGAAGCCTTGCATAATCTTCTTTGACGAAGTTGACGGTTTAGCTCCAGTCAGATCTAGCCGCCAAGACTTTGTGCACGCCAGCATTGTTTCCACTCTCTTGGCCTTGATGGACGGCTTAGAGAACAATTCAGAGATCATAGTAATTGGAGCAACGAACAGAATCGATGCCATAGATCCAGCTTTAAGAAGACCTGGCCGATTCGACAGAGAGCTATACTTCCCGTTGCCATGTTATACGTCGAGGAAAGAAATACTCTCAGTACGTTTAATTATAAACTATTACGTAGTGTAATTAATTCATTCGCATTTCTTTGAAAGGGATTTTCAATCTAATGTGTACATCGTTCCTTTAATTTCTAAAACAAGTACATTAAAATAAAGAGACCATGTGTGATCATAGGTTTATATAAAAAGTTGGAAGCAAAAACCACCGCAAAAATTTTTAGCGTATCTGGCATCGAAAACGGTCGGATTTTGTGGAAGTGACTTGCAAGCTCTTTGCGCCGAAGCGGTAATGTGCTGTGTTCGGAGACTCTATCCGGAAATATACACTTCCACTGCGAAGTATCAGATTAATGAACGTCATCTTAAAGTAATGAAAAGAGAATTTCATAATAGATTTAAGATAAGAAAGACAGTTTTATTTAAAGCTAGACAATTTCTGTAGAACAATTGATTCAGGGTTGATAATATTATCAGTGGATAATGTTAAGAAAAGTTGACGATCAATAGAAGTAGTTAAAAAGAAATTTCTATAATCGACAATGGCTACCGATAACTGAACAAATTTATAATTATTTATAATATTTATAATAGTTAAGATACCCGCTATTTTTTATAAAGTAAAGTTCAATCACATAATCCTAAATTACAAACGATATCCTGCACAAGCTATTCCCATTGACAAAAGATATTGCAGAGGGAGAAAGATTAAGAAACAATGAGTCAATCCTCCAGAAATCTAGATCGGGACACTTCTATTAGATTACGTTTACTACGCTACGTGGATCATAAAATAGCTACTTTATTTGCCAGCGGCGCATATTTAATCTGATTGATATTAAACTGATCGCTACATAGAAGCTATAACGTTTAATCGAATAATAAAACAAGGAATGTGATCGTTGCAAACAAAAATATATATTGCATTTTAAATTAATTTGAAAAAGATAAATCCTTCTTAAATAATTTATGAAGTTCTTTTCGTAATTGTCAACGTAATAGGTTGAGAAACAAGATTTTCTAAGGGCACAACAGAACATCTTGCCAGCATCGCATCGTGTTACAATCGCACCCGTGAAATCTTTGTCGTATAAAATCCAGCCATTACTTCAAGAAAATTTGTCATGCATTCTGTCACAACTCGAAACTCTTTGTCCAACGGGAATGTTAATTTGCAATGATATGTAAGCATCGAATTACTGTTTGATTTGATAAGTAGCCTTGACAATTTGTACAAATCTTTTGCATTTTTTATCCATCTATATACAGGATGCATATATGTATAATATCTAGATTACAACATCCTTTATGGTTTTCAATAAGTAAAACGAATCCCTCACAGTAAGTTCTATCTTTTTAGTTGTGTCCATAAAAATGTAAATTTACATAGAAATTCGTAATCTACGATAGAAACTTAATTTATATTAAAAAATCAAAAGGGTACAGAAAAATTGAGAAATGATAAAAAATTGAAAATTTGTATAATATCACTTCATAAATTTGATCGAATTAATCAAAGCACTGCGTAAATATTTTTTAAGCTTATATTCGGTCGAACGTCCGAATATGATTTATGAGGTTTTCCATATAATATTATAATTTTTACGATATTATTAAACTAGTTTAATCAAGCTACATTGAACTGTTAAATTTTCGACCACTATGAAAGTAGGGTTTGGTTATAGATAGATCGTAATGGTTCTCATAATATGAAAGGTAAAAAGCTTTAAAAGGCTGTTCTTACAGCACTGGTAGAGCTGTATCGAGGTCAAACAGCTGTCCGAGGATTTTATTGTGCGGTGATGACTCTCACACTCGTCATCTGGGACCAGCATTACTCCATACCTTGGAACATTTACCTTGTCATGTGTTAGACGTCACAACTTTGTTCGAGGAAACAGGAAGGGCTGCGGAGGAAGCTCTCATTCAAGTATCTATTATAAATATTATTAATACCAGAGTACAATATTAATTAAGGCTGATAAAGTGATAACTTAAAAATGAAATCTTGTAAAATATTCTTCATTATGTATTGTCTACGTAGGAAATAAGAAGATTAGAGAATAGGACATTTTTTTATGTATTCGATACAAGAAATGATGTTTTATGAAATTGATAAAAAATGACGTACAAAGATTGGAAAAAATGAATAAAAGATATCTCAAAGTTTTTTTATTTTTATACCCTGTATGAATTATTTTTTGTTTTACTGTTTCTGAAATGTTCAAATATTCGAATTATGTTTATGATTTAATTAATGAATATCTGGATAATTAAATGATAGAAAATGAAAATGGCTCGAAGAAGTTTACCATCGTTGCTCTACATTCCTGACATCTTAGCCTGGTGGGATCTAGTGGATGAAGCGGCACGCGTCGTTTTTACTTCTTTGATGCATGGCTTAGATCGATCGGTGCATATCTTAATCTTGATTACGGCCAATTGCTCACAAGCAGATTTACCAGCAGATGTAAGGGACACTATGATTAAAGTCGTGCTTTAATAGCACATAATATCGATTTAACAATAATAATGTTAATAAAAAGTTGCAAGATAATAATAGACTATGATTCCAGAAATCAATATTAAAATGTTACGAACTTTAAAAGGTATCTTTTTTAAAGTAATGATGATAACAATAACAACTCATTTCACACTTTTCGGTTTTTAAGAATAATAACACATTCTAGTAGTCATAAGCGAAATTTACAACATAGTGGAATCGATATTATAAACAATTACATATGTATTAATTTATTGTTAGATAAAAATTAACTAGCTCTATAAAAACAATTATTCTGAAGAGATCCACAATTTAATGATTTAATTAAATATTGTTTTCCCATAATGTAAATATAAGTAGACCTGTAATAATATTTTGTTAAGAAAGATTAAGATGTACTGAACAGAGATTACAGATGTTAGAATATTTTTTGCGTTTCTGGAAAAAGACAAGCATGGACAGGAGTTGTTTTTGTTATAAGTCCTTCAACTGTATGTAATGATATATAAAAAAAGAATGAAAATAATGAAATATATCGTTTCTCATTTTCACTTTATTCAATTACTAGATTGTATCTTTATTCGATGAACATCAAAGCGAAATATTCGAAGTCATGCCCCCCGGAAAACAACAGCGAGAATCTTTTTTCAAGCAATTATTCGTTCACTCGACGTGTGACCTCGAATCTAATCGTTCTTCACAAGGTATATATTATAACAATATAATACCTCCATTTTAAATGTAAAAACGTAGAAAAGGAGTTTCTTCCATATTTTATGATATTTACTTTTTATGAAACCCAATTAATAAGTAGTAATTATTTAACTAGCGGAATTCGAACAAGTTATGAATCCAAAAAAGATAAAAGAAGCAGGTAGGAAGCGAAAGCAGGCAGGACGTGCTGATTTCGCAGAAAATCTTTCGACGCGTAAGTGAAAGATCTTTTAATTTTTTCATTCAAAAAGTATCATAGAATATTAATAATATTGCGATAATGATAGAAGAGATGCCATCCTCACGGAGAAGTAAACTCAGAGTCCGCAACAAAATATGCGCCGTGCGATCAGCTCACGTGATGACCGATTCTAAATCAAGTAATAAAATTTATTTGCTTATTTTTATCATAACTCTTTAGTAAATCTTTAAATGACCTATATTTATATAACTATTTCGCTCAATCGCACTTTACAGAATATATTTGCAAATTTTGACTATTAAGCCAATACTAATATTCCTAGCTAAAAAAAGAACTTAATTTTCTATCCAGAAATTAACATTAAAAGAAAAAACAGCGCATCAGGCGAAGGACCACCGTCAAAACGTACAAGAAATTCTCCGTCCCATCTATCCGCTTCGAGCAACGAGAAACTGACCGAGTTTGAAATAGAGGAACTGCTTCGAACGATCGTCGGGGCGACGGAAACGTGGCCGTGCCACGAGCTCGAAAGTCTGTTCGCTTCCCTCGAATTAACTCTAGAAAAGAACGAGGAAGATTTATGCTCTGCAATTGAATGCCTCGAACGGTTTAAAGAATTCAGAAGGCTAAAAGTATACGTGAAGAAGGAACAAGAAGATTGAGTTATCGTTTTTTAATTTATTGAACTATATCGCATATGTATAATATCATAGGTACAAGCAATGTATCCTTTCACTGACTGATGTGTAACTTTCAGTCGTTCGCCACTGTAAACTGTACGTCTAACGACCATCTGTTCAAACCTGGACATATGTCATCAAAGAGAGTTGACAGACGCATGATGTTGCGAATCAGTTGTGTATTTTGTTAATAATATGTGATAGTTGATCATTATCATCGTTCGTGGTCGTATGTGTACATGTTACGTAATGTGCTACATGTATCTATATGTAATATCGTGATATAATATATTTGCAAGGAATCTCTCAGCAACGCCACTCGCAAACTCTGTTTCTCGACTCGCACGCTGCTTCTCGACTCGCTCTCTCTGGCCGTTGTAGTATTCTATTGTCTTTTACTAGGCCCACCGCACACGTGTTCTGCAGATGCTCGTAGCTAGGGTCACGTAGGTCTTTTCTACGAAACTATGCACTTGAAAAGACCGATGACACATTGATGGGCCCGACGGCGCCTCGGCTCTCGCGACATTGTTCATGGTTCGTCCGATATCTCTTAGGCTTTTCGTCCACGATACTACATATATATGTTATTGGCCTCTTTCTTTAAATATCTTGTGACATAACGTTGCATTTCACACGTGTAATATACACAAAGTTACATTAAGAACTAATTAAACATAGAAATTTTCTGTACTGCGAAAAGTATTTTTGTAGCTTTTGTACGTTTAAACTGCTACGCTGCTATATACAGGGTGGTTGGTAACTGGTGGTACAAGCGGAAAGGGGGTGATTCTATGCGAAAAAAGAAGTCGAAAATATAGAATAAAAATTTTTCGTTTGAGGCTTTGTTTTCGAGAAAATCGACTTTGAATTTTCGCTCGGTACGCGTGCGGTACGTTATAACGGATCTCACTGTAGATTTTCGACTTCTTTTTTCGCGTAGAATCACCCCCTTTCCGCTTGTACCACCAGTTACCAACCATCCTGTATATATTAGCTCCTTAAGTTAATTTTGTGGTAACATGACATTCCATTTGCAATTTGCTCAATTAATTAGGTAACTCTAAAATGGGATACCAGAGATTCACTTCATATTTTTCTCGTCGCTGTTTCTTCCACTAATAGTCTTCAATCTTCTGAAATTTAAAGAAATTGATGTTTTTCCGTCTGTAGGCGAAAACATTTCTGTTTCGAGTCAAATAGGTATTATCTGTGCTAGCTATCTGCTGGGTTTCAAGAGGATAAGCGAGACCCAAACCCAATTTGTGAGCCGGGAAAATGTTGTAGTTGAGTTTGTAAGTTCTTCTTCTGGGAAAAAGTTTAGAGAAGAGAAAAGTTTAGAAGAGAAGAAGATCCACCCAAAATTTCTCCAAAGAACAACAATGCGTGTATGCTGCAACGATACAAGTTTAAGTCTACAGTTGGTACAGATATATAGCATCACGATAAATTTGGTTATAGCTTTGGTAAGAAATAAAGAATTAATAGTGAAGAACCGTTCTTCGATAATAATTTTGAAAATATAATAGAAATATCAACTGATTAATCGAACTGCTCTAGATATCAAAAGACTTAAGGACGTTGATGTACGTATGTTGCGAATTCTCGACTAAAGAGCAACCGGGCAGGTCAAACCGATCGGTCGATATCGCGTACCTCGAATGAATTAACGCCCAAGGTGGAGGAAGTTTAATAGATCGAGTGTTAGAGTAATCCAGCACTGTGTTGAACTTGTTGTATAAACGTAATGTGTGATGTGATGCACGGCGGTGGTAAGATCTTGTTAGAAGTGAAGTCTTTCAACCGTACGGTACGATGTCTGATGATCAACTGTCCTCTTACATTGCTGATTCTCTCTACCAGCCGTTGGGTTTCGTCTGTCCATCGTGCCTTTCCGGCTGGGTATTTTCCGGTGTTTTTTACCTGACCTCGGAATCATTAGGTTTACAGCTCGGGGAGGACACGCAATTCGGAATTTCCTACAGAAGGGAATGGGCCTGTCCGTGCCATAAACGGACGATCACTCAAAATTCCGAACAGTGTATGTATTCAGATTACATGTGGTCCATCCGAAGAAATAAAAGAAAGAAGTATTAAAAGTTAAAAGTTGTACTGTTTGGAAGTGTACATGAAAGAGTTTAAGGATGATAGGGTAACGTAAAGAGTAAGTATGTCGGAGATGGAAGGACACCGGACCTTCCCCTGGAACTCCGGGAAAATCCGTAAAATCGTAATTAAAGTGTACAGTTGTAATTAAACAAGTTGCCGTCATTCTGCCCAGTTGTACTTGTTTGCGATTTGTGATAATAAACTTGGGCTCAAGGCGATCATCAGTCGCCGAACGTAGCCGCGGTCAACGGGACGGGCGCTCAGTCTAGCAAAGGTGCGGAGCGGTGTTATGACCCTCATTAAAGAAACTACCCATAGAGGTATCGGACAGTAAAACATGCTAACGGTTCCTTAGGACAATGAATACCTGATGTTGAGGCACGTACACAGCACAAGTCTGGTTAGCCCGAGGACCCGCTATAAAACCTCGGTTTTTTGGCAATTAAGATCTGGATCACAAAGGATATAACCTAACAAACACGAAGATAGTACCCCGCTAGGGGTAGCCACCCATATGCTATATTATTATACCACTAAGCTATAATATTTTGCCAAATGTCCTACTGGACAAATTGTAAAATTTAAATAAATAAATAAATAAAAAAATATTATCTGGAGATATCGGAACTTCCTGATTAGAAGCAAAAGGAGTTCAATTATTTGAGTTGTCACAACGACAATGAAAGAGCAGTGGTAAGATCGTTCGAGTGTGTTATTACAACAGTTTTGTTGCACAACAAAGAAAGTGTTCAAGTTTGTGCGGTTTGGTGTGAAACCACTTTCTCCATTACGATGATGTCGCGTACAATGGAAAACATAGCGATAAAAATGAATGTCACAGGCTATCACGCGTGATATTTCACTCTATGCAAATACGTTAAATCAAATACGTTATTGTTTGTAATTAAATACAAACATACTATTCTTTGTAATCGCTACAAACAATAATTCTTCTACTTCTCATGTGATATTGAATAATAATACAATATTTAATTCCACTTACCTAACGCTATTAATTCTCTCAGTCTAAACAAAACGTCGTGTGATGAATTTTCTCAGCAAGCATTCTCAGCTTAACTATTACTCGTTCTATAAAATTATTTTTACATTTAATAATGATTTCACTGTACGTTTGGTGGTTTTTTGTAATTCTTTTGTAAAAGCATAATTGAAAGTATTGTATAGATGCATATGAGTAGCTTTTAGCTTTTATTATTGATCATTCCTTTTGAGGGGATGCAATGAAAAATTATCTATGAATGAAAGACTTTACTATTGTGTATGTTTCTTGATGCATAGTTCACAGTCATTAATTTTTCCCTCGTAATTGAATCATTATTAGATTAACTTTTGTTTAACTTCTTTCTAAACGTTCAATGAAGACGTATGTGATATAGAGCTGTTTATGACTTTCTACGTTTTATTTTAGAAGCATATTATGGTATCATTACCGACTTCAATGGCAAAAGTTATGGAAAAATTGAACTTAACAATAACCATTTTGATATTTTTTTATGTTATATGCATTTAGTATATTTTCGCATTTTGAAATTTCCTATAAATAAATGAATATCCGCACCTAATTATGAGTGTATTTACTCTCTTAAATTCAACCTTTTCTGACACCTCTTTCATAAAAAAATTCTATATCTTTTGCTGAACTCGTTTCCGATGATCTTATTTACTTAACGCTTATAGTGAACCTGATCAAGTCAAAAGCGCCAATACATACATATGGCAGCTTGTTACAAACGGTCGAAGTGAACGCGATCGCAGCCGGCGACAGAGCATGCAGGCTCCTTTCTCTGCGCGCACGACATGCTAATTCACGAACAACTGTAATTGTCTCTTCTCCCCGATGACGGAAGATGGAAAGCAAGATTGAATCTCCTTGAAGAGAGGTGGAGAGATGCAAGCCATGCTGTTCTCCAGGGCTTATCAGTTGGTGCCGGGCAGCCGTGCAATGCGTTGCCTCGTCTTGTAATTTAATTGTGCTTTCGATATTACGCGTGACACACATCGAACCCTTTACGGAATATATATGCCGGTCCATTGACTTCCGCTGACCAAGCAGCAACTATCGGAAGCCGTAGCGCTCTTACATCCAGCCAAAGACTTCAGGTACGAGGCGCTCCAACGCGACCAAAAGTTTCTTCAGAACAAGCCGGTAGCATGTAGACTCTCGCACATGGTAAAATTTTGTCAAACTATCCGTATCGAGAGGTTGTGCGACCACGTGTAATTCGAATTTGTTGATACAGTTTCGAGATCTTTTTATTTGATAGTATTTTACCAACAAATTTTTAGTTTGTGATTTGTCTTTAACCCTTTCATGCTGGATATTGCACATAGGCAACATTGTATTAATAAAGAAGTAATGTTGGTTTTTGATTGTATTAAGAAACCTGTTTCGGATGAATAGAATAGTTTGCGGTAAAATCATGTTATAAAGATGATGTTCAGCATTTATAAAACATTTGGTTCTCTTCAAAAGCTAAAAGTCAGTTTAAATAGAGCAGTTTTAATAGTTAGATATGAAAGACAACAGAATCTGTTTTTCATCAGTTACATTATATGAATTTAAGAAAAGTGCAGATAGGATTAATTGCATTTTTCCTCATTTTTTAATGAATTTAGATAAATAAATCTATTTTAGGTAAATTGGAAGAAATTATTTAACACTTTTTAAATGAAAATAAGTGCCATCGTTTGTAGTCGCCCATTTTCGATCCTACAGGACACTTTTCTATAGATCTTGATATATCCAGGTTTTATAAAATACTGTTTTAGGTATGTATATAAAATATTTCAGAATGTCGATACGCCTAAGTTTTAAAGAATGTTTTTTTAATCCAGTTGTGCTTGACTTTTTTTTCATTATTTTTCGAACTGGTGCCATTTTCCTTTATTTTAAAATCTAAATTGAATGTGTGACTTAAAATTTTGTACTGTTGTTATTAAAAAAAGGTCATCAATTCTAAAAATTATCGTGTAATATTGCAAAATATACAAAGATTATAAAGTCGATATAAACGATATAAAATAACATTTCTAAATTCAAACATATAAAATTGTCTTTCAATCGTCCTTTTCGAAAGTCCATTCGTAAACATATCTGAGTTAGATATATTAAGAATACTTAATGACCTTCAATTTGTTGCCATATTTCAATTTTTTCTGAAGTACATATAATTTTTTCACTTATATTTTTGTACTTTTTATTATTTACGCATATTACTTTACTTGCCGAAAAAATCAAGAGGTTTGATGGAAATCTAAGTTCCTTAACTATCGTTGTAATCCAATATCCTTGCTAGTGCTCAATCGTTGTGTAGGTATTTAATTTACATTCCTTCTCTATCGTATCGCAAGTGATAGATGGAGCATTTCTATCTTTAAATCCTATATCAGTATCTCCATTGTGCTGTAGCAAGTGCTAATTCTTTTCGTTGATCGTAAACGACAATATCCTTGTCGATAAATTTTAACTGGAACTTTCAACAGCATATTTGTTTCAAAGGACGAATAATTTCTGTGCTCTTTTAATTTCAATAATATCGATTGTAATAATTTTTACTATATTTTTGTTTAGATTCTATGGAGCACATTTTTTTTATAACTTTCTAAAGTGTATCTATCGTGATGTGATAGAAAAAAACTCAGATTGTGTTTCTCCATTTCGAAAAACATTTATTAAAAAAGGATATAAAATTCTTAAATTACTATACGTATGTATGTATTATTATAGCTCTGTACAACAGAATACAACTTTGTTCGATGTAAATAATCTAGTACAAAATAAGAAAACATGAAAATTAAGTGAATATTACAGGTAATAAGTAATAATACTGATACAAAGCACATACTTTGAACATTTAGGCAAATATCTTATAAAATATTTTAAAAAATTTCGTCTCATCGTTACTAAGCGCCTATATATAAACATAAAGAAACATATATAATACACTAAATTCAATGTCAAGATACGTATAACACAAACATAAGTAGCTTTTGGAACATTTTGGCAGCGATAATATTAAGTAGCATTTAAGTGCAGTTCCCGTTGATTTAATTCGAACATAGTACATATTGAACTTGTGTTTGATCAGTACACATATATATTTTAACATACATGTATATGTACTTTATGAAATATAAAGAATATAATATAACGAAAGATAACGTTGCACGTAATGAAAGTTGAATAGTTTCCTACATTAAAGGTACTTCAGTATATTCATTTCGTAATATATGTATTACATATTCTGAGGACGTATCCACCATTGGAATAGTTGTTTGCAGTTCGACACCATTCTCATAAAGCTATGCTTGCTATCTACCGATCCAATAGTTTCTATTGTTATTCATCGGTACCATTGACTAGATCTATTACGATCGGTCCTTTACTCCTACTTTCCATATCCCCGGGACAAGGCACAAGAAAATGGCTAACAGATTCTTCTACGCTTTGCGTATTGTTATTTATTTCGAATTTTCCCTTATGATGATTAATATTATGCTGTCGTGTCATCTTAGATGATATATTGATATTCTCATTACATGTCATTAAATTTTCCTTTACACTATCAGATCCACATATTGTTGCTATGCTATTATAACTTTGCATTTTCGCAATGTGCTCCTTCATATGAGAAATGTATTTTTCTTTGGTTGAATTTCTACAGTCGAAATCCAATTCAGTTATTATTTTCCTCATTTTTTTGATACACTCATCATTCGTTTCGCAACATTTGGTACTAGATTTCGATTTTTTTCCTGTGTAGTCGATTACTTTCTCTAGCAAGTGCCATCCTTCTCCTTCCAGTCTCTTCATATCTCTAATGGCTACATGTAGTAACATCTCTCGCTCGAACCGAGTTGGTGACTCGTGATTGACATCCGCAGTGCTATGTCCCCGAACGATTCGCAACACTTCTTGCACATCATCATCGGAATTATCTTTCGCGTTGTGAGTAAGAGTTTTCACAATTTGTTGTTGCTCTTGACCTTGCTGTAGTTGCTCCTTATGTTTGACTTGCAATTGCTGTTCTTGTTGCAGTTGCAACTGTCGATCCGGTTGTAATTGCTGTTCTTGTTGCAGTTGCAACTGTTGATCCGATTGTAATTGCTGTTCTTGTTGCAGTTGCAACTGTTGATCCGATTGTAATTGCTGTTCTTGTTGCAGTTGCAACTGTTGATCCGATTGTAATTGCTGTTCTTGTTGCAGTTGCAACTGTTGATCCGATTGTAATTGCTGTTCTTGTTGCAGTTGCAACTGTTGATCCGATTGTAATTGCTGTTCTTGTTGCAGTTGCAACTGTTGATCCGATTGTAATTGCTGTTCTTGTTGCAGTTGCAACTGTTGATCCGATTGTAATTGCTGTTCTTGTTGCAGTTGCAACTGTTGATCCGATTGTAATTGCTGTTCTTGTTGCAGTTGCAACTGTTGATCCGATTGTAATTGCTGTTCTTGTTGCAGTTGCAACTGTTGATCCGATTGTAATTGCTGTTCTTGTTGCAGTTGCAACTGTCGATCCGGTTGTAATTGCTGTTCTTGTTGCAGTTGCAACTGTTGATCCGATTGTAATTGCTGTTCTTGTTGCAGTTGCAACTGTTGGTCCGGTTGTAATTGCTGTTCTTTCTGAAGTTTCAACTGCTGCATCCCATCGTTGGAATTATCTTCGGTGTGGAGAGAGGAAATTTCCGTAATTTCTTGTTGCTGTTGATCTTGGCGTGGTTGTTCCTGATGCTCTACTTGTAATCGTTGTTTTTGTCGCAATTGCAGTTGTTGATCTGGTTGTAATTGTTGCTGCTGCTTTTGCCGCAGTTGCTGTTCTTTTGGTTTTATTGATGCTGATTGTATCATAAGTTTAATAGGTGTACTAGGAACACTTGCATTTGGCATGATTATTGGCACGATTACCGGTAGTATTGCCTGTATCACATTAGAGTCATCCTGTAATTTTCTCAGTATATAGTTTTCTGTATTGTTTATAATAAAATCTTTTTGGACCGGATTTGTATTAATATTTGTTGTTTCCTCATTTTCGTCAATGTTTTCTGGATTAATTTGCATGGTATTCCTTGATCGAGTATTTGTATTCTTTGTTGAAGATGTAACACTATCATTTTTTTTGTTGTAACTCGACATTGACTTTGATGTTATAGCGAACTGCGACATATTACACGTTTCGTCGAATATTAAAGCATCATCTGAATGCGTCGAAGAGAGTTCCTCCGAATTACCATTTTTAACACGATCTTGTTCACGTAAATTGCACTTTTCGGTCACAAATGACAAATTTAATTCAAGAGATGAGTTTGGCGTAACACAAAGAGTGGCGCCACGTTTTTCATTTGCGGATATATCGCGTGACTCCTTCAACCTGTGCGAAGAGTTAGTTTCCTCCTGCGTTATAATTTTCTCACGAACCGCCTGTGTACTTGCTACAATGTTGCTAGCCAAATATCGATTCGAGCATTGTACCGTGTGCACAGACGGGTTAAAACATTGGCAAGGACTATTACCGAACAAAAGAGGATCGATACGAGAAGCAACACTTTCATACATATTCATGTCTGCAATTAATTCAGTGTCACGATTCGATTCGGTTTGAGTCCACATGTCGACGTTATCTTTCTTCAAGTATTTTCTATTCACCGATATTTTGGCGATGATTTCCTCTCCTATTTTCAAGGTTAAACGTAATTTTTTGTGTTCTTTTGTTGCAAAATTTTTACTAGCCTTGATCACTGAATGGTTTAAAGATTTTGGAAAATTTTTGCAGATTTCGATTTCTTTCTCCGTACATTGTGTTTCTTTCACAGTCGTGTTACCAAGTTCTTCATTTGTCTGATGTTTTAACAAATTATGCTTATCTAAGTCAATTTTACACTTAAAACACTTTCCACATAGATTACATGTGTTCCCCAGGATAATAACGGAACAATCACGCAATGTTACACCACTGGGAATATTAATCTTTTTAGTTTTACGATCACTGTTTGACATTCTATACTTGTACTGAAATCTTTTCATTTGAAGACCAATACAACGAAAGAAATCCTCTTTGCTGCTTATTTTGGACACGTCAAAAGTGTGTGATTGAAAACAATTTTTTTCACCATGCCTGAGTGTCCTCAGTGAGTATCTGCCTGGATCTCCAATAGCGTTGTAGTCCCGTTGTATATGTGGCGCCATCTTCTAAAAGTAACGCATTTCTGGACAACATAAAATGATGAGACTGATTATTTTTTACATTGGAAATTAATAACAACATAGTACCGTGATAAATTTTATATAAAAGTAGTATGGTAGTATTTTGACAACTATTATTCGATGTAAAAAATGTATGAATAATAGTCACAAATATTTACCATAGACGTTTAGCCCGTATAGGGTGTCATAAGTTTACATACGTATAAAGTTAATTCATTCAGTTTATAGATGAAAATAACATCTTGAAATGTATTTGATCAAGATGTAATAAATACGCGAGTTGTAACGATAGGAATGGATTTAATGTTAATATATATTTAATACATTATTATTTATTACTAATATAAGTTTATAATATGAATTTAATTTATGAGATACTTTCTCTTTAGTGTTGCCTCCTCATTACGGTTATTTTTTAAAATAAATTGATATAATATATCTGTTTTATAGAAAAATTTGTACAGATGCTCATCAAATTTTGCATAAGGTATTATCGAATGTATACGTAAACAAATGCTAGATTTATCGTGAAAAAGAGGAAAGAAAAATGTCCATTATGATTTTTAAAATATTCTTATTATTGATAGAAATACTTCTTCCTACAGATACTTTCTAGAAATACATCAAATGGGGATAAAACTACAAAACTATAAAATACCTTATAAAATATTATAAATTAAAATAGTAAACTTATTTTATTGCTCCCGTTAATTACTTATTTTGTAAAAACAGGAAAAAAGGAATTTACATCTTTTGCAAATTAAATAGTTTATTTTATTTTTAATTAAATAAATGAGTAACATTTATCTTTTATTTTCTACTATTATACGTATATATTAAACACTTCAAAATATTAAATATTCTGTAAAAATTCAGTACTTACAAGAACAAATATTGGTTAGAATATGCAAGTCTTCATACAGATAGAGATTTTTCTCCTTCATCATATCACATTGTTGGGAAAGAATTAAAACCTTCATCCCAAAAAGTATTGAGAAACTCTATGAATTTTACGATATAGGTATACATCGCGTAAAAGAAAAATTGCATGAGATGGCGCAATTCCAATGTTGCCGAATGTAAACACTATCCCCATTGCTATGACTATAAGACTGATATTTTGGCCATAATTACAAAGATAATTGGTTCCGGCTAATTGATAAAAATATAAAAACGCATCTACAAATTTTTCTCCTTCAATTCAATTCAACGCAACACAGAAAACTGAAACTTTGGTAGACCCAACATAGCAGCGTGGCAACGTCACGTAGTCATAGTCAAGTAATCCGATAAGACCCATGAGGTTCAACCAATAGGAAGCAAGGTTGTATATAACACAACCAATCCCCGTCCTTATTTTATTCTGTGTTCCCTTCACGCATACTATGCTGTAGCTGACTAATGCTGCATATATGTATGTATTTATCTTGCTGTTGCCGGTAACGAAAAAGAATTTTCGACACAGTATTATTATTGTTTAACCAGAGACAAGACGAATGTATAGTGCATAAGAAAAAAAAAGTAAATTCAGAAGAATATTCTTTACATTTACGTATCTTCATTATTATGTGCTTCTTTACTTATGCACCATTCGGAACATAAAATTAGATGTTGATGCCAACTAAAGTTCTATTTATAAAGGAAAGAAATAAAGCTTTTATTGAGATATATTCAGACTATACGAATTTATTCATGTTATTTTCTGACTTATACCTAAAAATATTTAATGTCTTTAATTATTGAAGAGAATAATTCCCTAAAAGCAAAAGTAAAAGAAAATTTTAATACTGTAAAAATTTATATTTTACATTTGAAAATGTGTTTATAATTGTTATGATATATATATATATTTAATATTGTATAAGTTGTAAATCATTATAAATATATTATAAACATATTTTGTTTTTACACATTCATATTCTAATAAATTTATCTCTATTGTATTCTCAAATACTATGAGAAAATATGTATATGGATACATAATACATATTATGTGTATATATATATGTATATATATGTATATATATACATATATATATATATATATATGTTCAGGCAGATTATACTGTGAGAAATTATCAAGTTGTATCAACTTACATGAAGATAATCATGGATGCACTGTACCAGACTAAACATGCCTTACCAAAAACATATATACGCATAATACACAGGAGTTTATTTAAATTTATTCACAAAATCATAAGTCAAGAATATTAAATCAAACATTAATATGACATTAAATGTAAATATTTGGTTGTATAATAAAGTAATTATCAATTTTTTGTGCGTTTATTTATTAAGAACAGATAAAACAATAATAAATTATACTACTATAAATAAATAAATTGTACCAAGAAATTTAATTTTAATGAAAAGCCAAAATATCAAATTGCTGATTATTTGTTTTGAAGATTATTATTTTTTTTAATTTTTTATGAGAAAGAAACATGAAATAAAATTAAAATATGTACAGTACTCCCATATATGTGTGTATTACACTCGGTAAAACTCCCTCGTTCGGCATCCGGTCGTCATTCGGTCGTCATTCCCACCATAGAGGGAATTCTCCGCAAGGGGCCCTACTATTCCCTTTAGTTTCATATACCGTGAAGTTTGACGACTTATGATGAGTAGTGTAATTTTATCCGAATGCGCATGAGATACTGATGGAACTTTTGCGCTTTTAATTTTTTTAAATCAGACTTTCATGTATTGTGAAATTTTTCTGGTTAAAATAAGACCAAACACGATATGGTTTAAATAATTTTTACATAGATATTTAATAGACGAAAGAATATAAGTTTATGTCATTAAATAAGTAAACATGCTACAAATTATATCGTGCTTGATCTTATTTTAATTCGAAAAACTTTACAATTACTTTGGTAAAAGTTCTGTTTAACAAAAATTAAAAATAAAGAAGTTTTATCGCTGCATACCAGTGTCTCACTGGTATATCCCCTTTTATCAAAATGATTTTCAAACCTTTTTCTTTCATTCGTGTCTTTTTTCTACGTACGGTGAAACGGTGGGCCGTATTTATCTTTAGCATCAATTCTTCTTTCGATGAATGCCTTGATTAGATCCTACATGAGAATTTCTTATAAATGTATTTTCATAAATTTTAGTTTATTATTATGTATAAATAATAAAGAGAAAAGTTTATAACTACTAAGGTCCTGTGGCGCAACGGATAACGCGTCTGACTACGGATCAGAAGATTCCAGGTTCGAATCCTGGCAGGATCGAACTACTTTTTTTCTATAAAATTGTGTTATTAATAATAATATATGTGTATCTATAGAACATTTTACGTCTTGATCCATTTATATTTTATAATAATATGTAGGGGTATAACTTATTTATGCTGTTATTTTTGTTTTAACCGTATAAAAATAGATCACAGATAAATACTACCTCTATCTATTGTTCGTGTTATATTGTTGTTATAGAATTTGTTATTTATAAACTATGTATATTTACTACTTATTATTATAGGATCAACTTGGATCTGCGGATGTACTTCTCAATATGGATATTCGTGCTTGTGCAATTCACACGTACGAGTAAGTTTGAAAATATAATTAATATTTAAATATAATTTATGTTACTAATAAAGTTTATAGTTGTAAACCTTTTGTTATGTTAACTACATAAAAGGGACTAACATTTACACTATATATATGATATATATGTATATGGATATGTATATTTTTCATCAACATTCATATTTTGTTTTCTTCGATTGGTTTTCAATACACTGAATTACAAAATTGCTGTTCTATAAAAAACAGAAAGAGGAAATGTTACTTGTCAAGTCTTTCCCCTATAGTCTTCAGAAACGCTATATGTCTCGTTGAAAGCATTTCCTTTATTTGTCTAAAACAGCGATGAGTTGCTTGTGGTTAGAGGTTCATAAAATGAAGCACATACAAAATTCTATTTCATAAGATAATATCTATTACTCGCCTATTATCTTTATATTTAACTTATTATTATGTCGCATGAGCGTTACCGGTCATCTCAAGGTGTGTTTCAGATCTCAATTTTGTCAGCACGTTTGGGTCATTTTGAGCAAAAAGTGCTATACTAATGTGCCTGTCATCAACATGTTGGCAAAGTTTGTCGGTTGAGCTCTGAAACACCCTGTATACATACTTAGGTATGTATGCAAATTGTTGTATTGTATTTTAACAATGCTTATATTGTCGTGAGAATAATACCATCAGGAATGTCTGATCAGAATAATTCAAGTAGAAACTTATTGGGTTGTGTAACAATAGGGCATCATTTCTTCCTAACGATGTCACCTCACACTATCAATATGCGAACATATGTGTACTTCTCTCACACACTTTATTGCGCTCCTGTGTGTTTTAACTATCGCTTTTCGCTTTATCAACTGTTTCTAAAGTAATTGTAGTAATAGGTATCAACTTTGTCCGATAAAAATAATCTTGCTCACGTATAATGTATTTAATTACAGAATCAGATCACTTTTAGATCCAATCGTATTTTTCTATTCTTAATAAATTTCGTATGTTTGAGAAAGTATAAAAGAATCGTCTCTTCCGTTTTAAGTATACCAAAATTTTTTCCAAGACATTAACAACCTGTATTGCTCTATCATAAGATAATATTATGATGTTTTTCTTTGTGATCTCCATATATTATTTATCTAAAAATATATTTACTTGAAACGATAGGAAGTTACAAAAATGTATTATGGGAAGAAAATAGTTATGGTTTTAAAAGGAAGATACGAATAATAAAATATTATTAAATATTTTGCAAGGTTCTAATATTTTGAACATTCGTAGAATATACATCTGGCGAGGAAACAATTTTAAATTCTCCTCGTGGACCATGCGAGGGATACAAACAGGGCGAGGACGATCTTCAAACATTCGACTTCATCAGCAAGTTGAAACTAGATCTTTTGGAGGCACATTACACTGGCGTGACGCGAGTCAGAGGTAGCAATCGTATGCAAATCGCCTACAGATTGGAAAAAGATACAGACATCGCTCAACCAACCAAGTAAGTTTTATCAACCTATTTGCCAACGACGTTTAACGCTAACCTTACGAAGCCCGGTCAAATGACCAGTTTCAAAATTTAATTTAAAATTGTACATTCATTGTTATTTTTTTTTTGTTTATCTAATTTTATTTAAATTCTTATATTATCTGATTAATCAATTTCTCAATATTTTTTTCCTTCTTCTATTACTGAGAAAAATTTATCGCCTGACCTGTTTATTGTGACCTGTGTCACTGGACCGGTCGACAAATTTACATCTTTTTCTACAGTTTTCTACGTGGGATCTTAAGTCGAGTAAGATCTAATCAACTACAGTTGCGTACATCTGTAGTAACACCTAAACACAACAGAGTCTCAACGAAGGCTCTCAAGAAATACTTCTTAAGAATATACTCCCTTCATAATAAGTTCTCTATAGCTAAACGAAATCTAAATGCAGTATCATTTGAGAGCCACAAAGTACAGATCGAAGCCAACGAGGAATCAAATACGTCAAGGAATGAACAAATCTCGTAATATTCAGTACATTGGTATTTTATACGTTTTGTATTTTGTTTTATCCCTGAATATGTCCACACGTTCAATGAGAAAGTTATTAAAAAACATACAAAGCAGGTCACTTGACCGGTAGACAAATTTACATCTTTTTCTAAAGTTCTCTACGTGGGACCTTAAGTCGAGTAAGATCTAATCAATTACAGTTGCGTACATCTGTAGTAACGCCTAAACACAACGGAGTCTTAACGAAGGCTCTCAAGAAATACTTCTTAAGAATATACTCCCTTCATAATAAGTTCTCTATAGTTAAACGAAATCTAAATGCAGTATCATGCGAGAGTCACAAAGTATAGATCGAAGCCAACGAGAAATCAAATACGTCAAGGAATGAACAAATCTTGTAATATTCAGTACATTGGTATTTTATACGTTTTGTATTTTGTTTTATTCCTGAATATGTCCATGTTCTGTTCAGTTCACGTTCAGTGAGAAAGTTATTGAAAAACATACAAAATATAGGTGAAGGATGTTCAGACGAACGAAGTTCTAAGTCTGAAAATAAGCAACTTCAAAGTGAGGATGATTTGTTCGATTGATTATTTTATTATTATGTAAAAGTTACGTTGTGTATTATTTCCTACAATAAATTAACAATTTTTTTTTCAAAAAAATGTTTGTTTCTTGACAACGTCAAATGACCGGTTACGATAAGAATAGATATATGCG